CTAAATATAGGTGGCTACGTTAGGGGTGCATAGGGTTAAGCATCTTGAAATGGATAGCCTAGGGAGGGGCTGTACGAGTTTAATAATTAATCGGGGTTGCCGTTCCTCACTATTTGTAATATATATATATATATATATATAATCTTAAATACCTGGATATCTAGAGATCTATTATTTATTATTAATGGTATAATATTCTATATAGATAAAAATTTATAAAAATTTATATATTATCAATTTTAATCTTTATATTGTTACGAGGTTTGCCGTCTAGATCACGTGGATGTGTTCTAGGCTTTCGAGGTGGTTTATAACTAGATGTCAAGCAGGGACTTAAAGTAATGACAGTAATGCAATTCGTAACTAATAGTAGAGTATACTAAATGATTGATCTTGAGCACGAAGCTCTATACAAAGGAAATCCATCTTGATTATATAGACCTTCGTGTTCTGGCTCTAATGACTCTAATTAGATTCTCTAGAGCCAGCGGCTCTAGAGGCTCTAACTGGATCTTTAGAGCCGGTCACATGATGGCTCTGATCCCGTGATTAATCATGTGATGCGGAAATATGCTACCCGTTGTAACAGAAATTAAACTGTTATTATTATTATTTTATATAACTTTTTACAATATTTGTTAAAAGGAATGACCTTACTGTCACGATTCATTAATTCGCGTGACCTCGAGGACCTTGAGGACCTTTTGGACCTTAGGGTCCCAGAGGTCCTCAAAAGATGATATAGGGTATATGAACATTCATTTAGTCTCGTAGTTAAGGAGCTTCGTGCTCAACTTAATTATCAATTAGTTTACCTACATTCTACTTGATGAAGTAACGAATTCACTTCCAAGTGAATACCAGTGATAAAGCCTTAACCCACAACTATTAACCAGATGAAACCTCAGGCAGTCGCTGCCTCCAGTACAGCATCGTTACACTTACACAGGGAATAGTGGGAAGCTGATAGGGCAGAACTGAGGTAATATTGGTCTAGTAGGTTAATCTCTCTTCTAAGTTCTACGGAAGTGCGAAGCTCTCTTACAGAGAGCTTCTCAATCTAGTCCTAATAGG